GAACAGAGTTTTTGTCCATTAGAAGGTCCATCAGAGGACTGAGAGTCCACGATAGTTCATTGAAAATTTGACTCGAGGTGACCCCTACACTGTTTCTAACTATGAAACTACTGTTTTTTTTTAAATGTAAATTCAATTACAGTCACTGCAGTCACTGCAATGACTGAAGCCAAACCAGGACATTCATGTCCTTTGGTGTCTCACCTCTTCAGCTGTCATACAGTACACTTACATAATAAAATTTAAACATTAATTTAATAAATACTCCAAACATTGTTATTTAAAAATGATTAAAAACAATATTTTTGTGACATTTTTCACCCACTAAAAGCTGTGTGACCTGGTTGTTGTTCTCAAAGTGTCCAGGAGATGTCGCTGCAGCACAGGTCAGTGTGAGTGATCACAAGCTAATGAAATCTGAACTCTAACAGAACTAAAAGAGATGGAAGACATGATGAGATCCTGCTCTTTAACAACTTAGTTTACCTGTGTGTCACTAAACAAACAGAATGTTGGACAACAATAATAATAGGTTTTTAATAATAGGTTTTGTTTGAACAAGGATTCATTTTTTCCTGTGTCTCCAAAGTATTTCACTGTTTGACTTGTTTAATTGGCCTGTATCATCTTACTGTTGATTTTAGAGCAGATGACGTTTCTGTGTGTTTATACAACAGTAAGCCATGAAAAGCCTGTAAATTAATTGGGTTTAACTCAAAAACAAAAGAAGATAAAACGTTTTTTTAGAAAAACAGAATGTGGTTTCAAAAATAAAATTCAACACCATTTCCAAAAAAGTTGGGACATTGCGTAAAATGTGAATCAAAACAGAATAATTTGCAAATCAACAGATCCATATTTTATTCACAATAGAGCATAGTTAGTAAATACATTTAGCCTGTAAAAATTAAAACATTGGTAATTTTGAATTTAATACATAACACACCACAGAGGTTGACATGTTTTCCTCTGTGAAGCTTCTCCTTTTAACAACCATCTGTAAACATTTAGAAACTGAGGTTGAATTGGATTTATTGAATAGCTGTTCAGCAGTCCTAGGTCACTATATGTTCTAAAACCTGGATATACTTTTTGAATTGGTTGCGTATTTCCAGATGTGTAAGCTGCCCATGCCATACACAAATGCACACCTATACCATCAGAGAGGCAGGCTTTTAAGACTGCATCTATTACAGGACAGTCCCTCTGCTCTTTAATACAACAGACGTAGCCTTCTTGATTTCTAAAAAKAATTTTGCATTTAATTTTGTCTGACCACAGAACAGTTTTCCACTTTACCTCAGTCTATTTTTAAATCAGCTTTGGCCCAGAGAAGGTGAAGGTTTATGGATGTTGAACACATTTGTGACCCATCAAATCGAAACAATGATTAAGTCTAAAAGTTGCATGTGGAGAAATAGGCAGATATAGTGTTTTGATTAAAATATTTGCAAAAATTACATTTTGTCAAAACAAAACAAATWAATATGATATCAATGCATCATTTCAATAAACTGCCTGAAATATTATCCTAAAATTTTTTTGAAGCACTGTTTTGAGCATTATCAACCAAAAACCAGATTTTGAGGAAAAACACTTTAAAATGTTGAGATTTTCCTGTGAGCTATCAAAGATTTTGTTTCTTTCCAGCTGCAAAAATGTCAATATTCAAATATTATATGAGGTTTCTTTTTTTTAAATGACATTAAAAAAACTCCTCATTAAAATTAGGATTTAGACCAGATATTTA